AACAGCACACTCGCAGTCAAATCATTGTAATTTTGTTATTTGATGCAGCCCTTTTAAAAACTGATTACCCACTGATGAACAAGTGCTTTAGACTTATCAATCTAATATCAGTTGTCTGCAGTTGTTATTGCCACTTCATTTTTAATCCCATTCTGCAAATGTCGGTGCATTTTTGATTCAGTATTAAAATTTGATAAGCCAATTGAGTCAGTGATGAAAAATTGTTTCTTCCAGCTTAGAAATTTTGCAAACTTTAAATCCTTCCTTTCTATTAGCCACCGCTCTAATCTCCTGTACTTCATTATACCTGGGTGTTAGCCTGTCTTTTCTGTTTTGGTTACAGTTGATGCAGAATGCTGCAGCAACACTTCTAAAGGGTACCAGAAAGAGTGATAGTAGTAGCATCCCTGCACGGCTCCCCACCAAATACAGGACTTGTTTTCAGAGCTCTACATGGTTTGCTACCTCAGAACATTTCTGAATCTCTCTGCCCCCACCCTGGCTCTAGGCCTGTCAGTGTGTGCGCTCTTTTGGCACGTTTAAGGTCGCTCTCAAGACCTAGTGTTTTCAGTGGCCTTTGGGCGTTCCTAATGACTTTTTATGCTTCCACGCCAGAAAGCATTATGCTTTCAGGTTGTCCATCCGTCCGCCTGATTCTTGTGAACACGATATCTCAGGAACACCTTTAGGGAAATGATTCAAATTTGGCACAATTATCCACTTAGACTCAAAGATGAAGCCATTAGATTATGAAGGTCAAAGGTCACTGATCTCACTTCTGTCCCATACCTTTGAATTTGACTGTTTAGCAGAGGCAAACAACTGCAAGGTGGTAATCATAGTTACTTAATATTGAGTTTTATTTCTTTGTTTTAGGTGTCCTTTAATGTTTGTAGTGGTCTGAATCATTATTTTATTCTGCCCTTACTGCCCCTGTGTTCTTACTGTTGTCTCACTGTTGTGTCTTTTGTTGAAATTTGTAAAGCACTTTGGTCAGCTCTGGTTGTTTTAAACTGTGGACTCTTGGCACTGTCTGTCCATACCAGGCCCAGTTCCACCAAATTTGACAGTCACTGTCATGTTATGGCAGGAGATTGGTTGACAGTTGTGCCCTCCTCTGAGTGTGGTATGCTCACTGAAGTCACAGTTTGACTGCTTCTGTCTTCTTGGTCACAGGGGTTTTATAAAAGTAGGTTCACAACAGAAGTGTGGTTTTGCATTAGAGCTGATGTAACCATAATTCAGTTATTATTAGGCTGCGGTGTGTAGCCTCTTAGTGGCACATGAAACATCACATTTTGCTGCTACTTTGTCAGGATGATGTTTATTTTGATCTCTTAAGGCCTGGACAGGGATGGAGAGGAATGCTGTGCAAAGTCCAGTTGTCACAGAACATACACACCAGCAACAGCTCTGCACAATCACATAGGAATGACCCCCTCCCACATATGGGCTCAGTCTTAACCCACATACACACACAAAGGCACGTACGCTTGATTGCTATCATTAGATTGATGCCACCTGACACTTAGTTAGCGCTGGAATGTGATGGGAGGGAGAGGAGGGTCGGCTGGGGGGCAGCTGCCGACTCTCAGGAGCACCAGAGCTGATCTCTGAACTTCTGGAACGGTCTTTTCTTTCTTCTAGTCTTTTCTTTCCCCATGTGATGAAGGACCCTCAGAGTTTGGAGATTGTACCAGTGATCATGTACTGACAGAGGTGAAGGGAAGAGGGTCTGGTTATTGTTGAAACACAGACTGTCTCCATCTGTTGTCTGAACTGTGCCATATGCTGGAATGCACCACTCGGAGGTGACCTTCCCCACTTCCCTCTGAGTAGCAGCAATTAGCTTTCCCTTGGCTACTTCACTTTATCTCTCACAGTATGAACATGTATTACAGTTACTTCAGTGTCAACTGAGACATAACAGTAACAAGGGATTGTCTGCAGGATCTCTTGTAATGACGAGGCTGAAATTCTGTGATCACTAGTGTAGCATAGTTGTAGTAATGTTTTTGTAAGGGTCAGCTTTCCTTGAGGTTTTACAACCATCTTCTACTTTTTCCTCTGAATTCTGAGTGATAATTGAAATCATTCACTGTCAGCATTTCATTTTTGAAGCTACAATGATTTAATCCGCAACTATTTTGATAACAGATTAATCATTGAAATCATTTTTTTTTTAGTAAAAATGCCAGAGAGTAACTAAAATAAAAGAGTTTACTGTTCTTTTTGTCATTGCAAAGGAGCATTGAAACTCTTCTGGCAGCTTGTTACCCAAAACCTTATGCTGGGCCAACACATAAGGTGCATCATTATGACTTTCACTTTTGTGCAAGAACAAAGTTTATGTAACGCCCCAACTATTTTATCTTCCCAGGAAATGGTTCGATCTGCTTGTGCAGCATTAGTCAGTTACAGATGTTGTTGTCATGGAGACATGACGGTTATTGTCTCGGCAAAGTAGCTTTGCCAGTTATACCTAGCTTGGTGGCTAAGGGTGTGCGTGTGAAAAAGAAGTAGTGTGTCCTTTGTGTGTGTGTGTGTGTGTGTGTGTGTGTGTGTGTGTGTCCATTCGTGCAGCTGTGTGTTCGTGGCCCTGGCAGGCCTGTGTCTCTCTGTTTAGCTAACCCCTCCCACGCACGTTGCTCCAACATAAGGCTTTCTCAATCCGCAGCCTACTGGATGTGGCCCTGAATGAGCACATTCTCTCTATCTCTGGCTGTCTGTCTCTCTGTCTCTCTCTATCAGTTGACCTTGACCTCCGTGCGTTTGTCAGCACACCTACGTACCCACCGCTCTACACATGCACCGTGCTCATTCTTTGAATCAAATAGTGGTCGTGTGCACATTACCTCATAAACCATTAACCATACTTAGAGGACCTGCATTACCACACATTCAGCTGTACATATAATTAGACACACTGTGTTAATATGCAAAAGTTTTATCTGACTCTACCACAGTTTGCATTCAGACTGAGATGCTTAGGAAAGGTTGGTGTAATCAGAGAAAAGGTAACTGTCTGTAATTCTACTGTATGTCATGGTACTGATTACATATCATGAGGTGATACTCAGTTATATTTATCTATGAAGCCAAATGAATCAGGTCAGCTGGTCAAACTTCAAGCATGTCTTAAAGACATAAAGGCCTGCATGACCTGCAACTTCTTACTTCTAAACTCTGACAAAACCGAAGTTATTGTGCTTGGGCCTGAAAACCTTAGAAATCTGCTGTCTAATCATATAGTTACGGAATGAGGCAAGTGATTTGCTACAGAGGTTAAAGGAACCTTGGAGTCATCTTTGATCAGAATATGTCCTTTAAATCACACATAAACCAAGTCTCTAGATCTGCCTTCTTTCACCTGCGCAATATTGCAAAAATCAGGAGCATCCTGTCTCAAAGTGATGCTGAAAAACTGGTCCATGCATTGATAACAGTAAGGTCTGACCTTACTTTGTAAAGTGTCCTGAGATGACTTTTGTTGTGATTTGGCGCTATACAAATAAAATTTGATTTGATTTGACATATCAGTGGCATTTAAAGTGGAGGTTAAAAAAAAAAAAAAAAAAAAAAAAAAAAAAAACTTTTGGACACCATTTATATATATAAAGCAAGCACACATGAATCTGTTTTTGCTTTATTAGATGCATAAAATGTGTAAATCTATTGTTGCCAGCTGACCTGCTCAGAAATGTATCCAAACTGGCTTCTGGTCTTTAGCGTCAATGCTACAGTGAGCAGGCACTGTTCCAGGATACGTGCTACTCGAAGCTGTCTATCATGTCACCAGTGGTGACCTTCAGGTGCTGTCGTTCAGTGCCGTCATTCACCGTAGATATGAAACTTGGGTATGTGAAGTCATGGAGCAGAATTCCTGAGTCTGATTATTTACAGTAACTCCTGATGAATTCTTTAAAACTGCTCTTTACTAACTGTTCCTCTGGGCTTTTTTTTCCTACAGGGATTATTAGACACACATTTCCTGTCATTATTGTGACTCACCTCTTTGGCTCTGTCCTCACAATCTGCCCTCTGTACTCACCGAGCAGTGGACGGCAGTAAATACCATGCAGTGTAGCTGTTGGCTTTTTGATGCGTGTTTGTGTGTGTGTGTTTTGTGTTCCCTGGTGGCGGCTCTGGGTCGGCAGCCTTCAGATGACTGAATACAAGGGCTGTGTGTTGTTTGTGTGTCTTAGAGGTGTGTGCATGCAGGGGAAGTGGTGGAGGGTGGGGGTAAGTTGGTTGCCAGTTCTGATGCATTTTTCCCCCCATTCAGGGATTTCAAAGGCCTGGATTGGCATAAACCTTTAATTTCAGATCAGTTTAGTTACATTTTTAGACCTAGAGGGGCGTTTTCCTCTGAGTGTACTAGTCCGAAAAACAGTTTCCAGAGGCTTAACTTGGTCAAACCTTAGAGAGTTTGCAATCACTTTCAAACCTTATAACCTAAATGTTTTGCTGTGGCCTTGGAGAGGAGGACTTCAGCACTGGATACCCATTTAATAATTTGTTTAGTTATAAACCATTATATTGGTTATAAACAATTTTAATTGCTTCATTATAAGTTTATTACCATTCATTATGAATAAGCACTGCTCAGCACAAGTAAAGCCTCAGTCACTTTTCAGTGTAATGGTGTTGTGATAGTTGCCAGTGGAAAAACAAATGGAGCACTTATCTATTTAGCTTCACCTGAAGCTGATGTTTTATATTTCTTTGCTTCTCTTGGCTCGTATAAATGGCACCCTTCTTACTTCAAGGACTAGAGGCGTTATGACACATCTGTCTCTGCAGGAGGCGGTATTAGTTGCTGAGACATCTCCCTTTTTCTGATTGATGTTAGTTTTTTACTGGAAAAGTTAGCTTTGTCCAAACCCTAATCTGGTTTTATGCCTGGCTCTTCTCAGAGATAGCCTACCATGTCAAATTATAGCACATACGGTTTGCTAATTGTCTCTTTTCTCCCTTCCTCCTGCTCTCTCTCTCTGTAGCAGGGTGCGTTAGAGGCTCAGTGCTCTAACTCAGCCATGAGCATCATCGGAGCTGAAGATGAGGATTTCGAGAATGATCTGAATGATGTGAGTGAATAAAAAAAATGCAACAGGGTGCTGAATGTAACGTCACCATTTCTCAACCTAACTTTTTGGCTCCATTATTTTGGTTCTCACTCATCATTTCCTTCTCTGTCTGTCTCTCTCAGGTGGTGGATGACCAGTCCAAAGTCTTTAACAGCGTTGAACAGTTGAAGGATCGGCCGACCCACCTGCTGGTCTTCATGCAACATGTCTTTCTGCAGTTTGATCCTGCTCCTCTGGTGAGAACTACAACTCCTATAATGTGTTTGAGGTTGTTTGTATGTGCGTGTGTGTGTGGGTGGATATTGCTACTGAAACAATTAATCAATAGCTGATTTTAATAAAAAATGAATTCAATTGAATTTGAATATTTTTGTCAGTTTTCCAGACAAGATAACAATGTTAGGTTCTGGAAATATGAAATGAGAATTTGTCATTATTTTGGACTTTTTTTTATATTAAATTATGAAGCAATTGGACAGGCCACAGAGCCAGGTGGAAGTTTAAAGAGCAGCATGATTGAGGTTAAAATAATAATAAAAATGTATTAGCTCAGGATTGGACTGCTAACCATACAATTGTTAATGATGGGGCATCCAACTTTGGGATGCCAGGCTGGGGCAACGAAATCCAGAATCCCAGGGAAAACTCGCCAAGTTAGTGGAGACTAACACACAATGACAGCTGTGAGCTCCCACTCCTGACAGCGACCTTCTAATTGATTAGAGAGCACAGTCCTAGTAAAAAAGAGCATTTAGAAGAGAATATCTCTACACTGCTCTCCGACTTTTTAATGAGTCTCGGGTCACGGGAGCCTTTGACAGCAATTCTCTCCAAGATAAGGCGAGATACATTTTTAATGTTGGGTGGAACAAATATTTTTTTCTGATCAAATTTTATCCACAAATTGTCCATAGAGGTGCACACAGTGAGCAGTCAGCCCATTTTTAGCGCATTATGTAAACCACTTAGTATGTTGAAGCTAAAAGCCGAGCAAGTTGCTCTGCAGGCTCTTCAAAACGTATCTCTCAACATGTGTGGCCACATACAGAAGTAGCCCAGATCTGATTTAAAAAAAACAAAACAGATTTGGTGTATTCATATAACCATGAACAAATCAGATCTGAATCACTTCAGCATGTAATGTGAATCTAACTTTAGTTATGATGATTAAGGTTAAGGTTAGGGTAAAGGGGATGGGGAATGCATTGTGTCAATGAGTGCCTTCACAAGGGTGTGTGTGTGTGTGTGTGTGTGTGTGTGTGTGTGTGTGAGAGAGAGAGAGAGAGAGAGAGAGTAAAGATGTAAAGCATGCCTGTCCTTTCCCCTTTTGTTCTGCATGCAGACACTGTGACCCACCCAGGTACTGTTACACCTTGAAGAGCCAGGACACCCTCCCTACCTCATGATTCCTCTTTACCTCATAGTGTGAGAATAGTTTGTCATAACACGAGTAATGTGGCGTGTTTACCTAAAAGTATATTAATTCAGTAGGATTTTAAAAAAAATCTACAGTATGCCAGTGTGGTTGGGTTAGGTGAGTGGCTGCTTGCTTAGTCTGGTACTATAATAAAAGCAATTATTATGGTCCTATTGTGTGAATTATTGCAATTGAGGTACAGCATGTGCATTATTGTGGCTGAAATGAGAGGTGTTATTTATTTTGTCACTATGATTAAACTCCTTAATAAGTATCTGATTTGATAAGTTATGTCATCAGTTTAACTTTTAGATAGTGTGACATGCCAGTACATCATGTGACTGTGCAGCCTTTAGTAGTGATATGACGCTTACAGTAACTCTGCACAAAAAGATGGAAGAGGAGTAGTTACTCTATCAGCGAGGACATTAGATGATATTGAAATGGTCTCTGTCTCTCCTCTCTCAGCTGTGTTACCTCCATGCTGACCTCTTCAAAACCCTCAGTGCCAAAGAGACAAAGAAGCAATTTGTGGAGTTTTACAACACCTTCTTGGACAAGGGTGCAGTAAGTAGCACATACACCGCTTTGCCTGTGCAATATTGTTTGTATGCAAAAGTATGAAATAATGAGCAAACTGATTGTAGTGAAACTGTAATCAGAATAAAGTTTAATCCAATAGAGTTTATAAAACATTGAGCTTAAGGTAAAAAAAAATGTGTGTGCATATAAAAACACAAAATTTTGCAGTAGCAGGCAGAAGGGGAAGGATGTCACACAGATAACTAGATATTGCGTTAATGTGCTCAGTTTATGTGCTGTATGTTCACCAAGAGAGCCACAATATGTGGTAACCGCCAGGCAGCATAGCTAGTCTGATGACCATGTAAGATCTAATTCTGTCTTCTTCTAAAGTGTTTGAACTCGTATGTTGTGTGTAATGTGATTGGTGTTTGGGGAATAAGTCAGAGTTTCTCTTTGTGCTGCTTACAACCTTTTGTATCTGTGAAGACACCCACTGCAGTTTAGTGAATATTGCAGGTGCTGTATGGCTCGACTCATCACATTTATGTTTGCACGGCTGTTGGTTTTGAAAGTTATCCATTCATAATGACAGACTTTACATCTCCCTCTACTATCTATTGTGCTTCATTGCTCTCTATTTAAGATTCTTAGTTTTAGAGAACTGTGCCACCTTACTCTTTCTGTTTGATGGTATGTATTATATAAAAATCAACTTAGAAAAATGTAGCAGCCTTTGCGATGTTGATATATTATTCTACTCCTTTAGTGTCATTGGTAGGAATTTGATATGCTGCTCAGCTGTAGTCTGTAAGTTGGACTCGGGAGAAGAGTATATTGTGTGCACTTGGTTTGTTCATGAGTGCACAGCTGTGTGTCGGCTCCGTTTGCTTTGCCTGTGGAGTGTGTCTGTGCGTCAGCCTTCGGCATCTGCCACTTCTCCCTGCACACCTGGCCCTGTCACTTCTCTATGTTTCCTCCTCAGAGCTCATGCACTGTGCAAGCCTGTCAACTGAGTTGCAGCTTGTGCTGCGCTTTCTCCCTGTCGATCTGTCTGTCTGTCTGACCCCACAGCTTCCTGTCAGGATCGTGGGAAAGCCCTTTAAGAAGAATCATTCTCTCATAGTGCCTCTTGTTTTTTAACCCCATCTCTTTTGTAAACCCAATGACTTAAAGTTGGCCCATGTTGTTATTTTCATGTCAGAGACAGAGTTGTGTATATCATATCTGCTTTTTCCCTATTGGTTGTTTTTGTGTGTGTGTGTGTGTGGGTGGGTGTGTTACTATGACCCCTTGTGGTGATATGTAGCTACTGCATTACTTCACCTAGAACTTTCTCAGTGGATCAAAACAAAGCAAAATCCACCTGTTTTTGAAAGTCAGTCCTTTGTTATGAACCCTTTACATTCTGTATATGCTTTAAACATGTAATGTTCTAATATCTGTCTGTTTTGTCTTTTGCTCCACAATACAGACACTGAGAGTGGCAGTGCCATCTGTTGTATCCTATGAACTGGGTAAGTTAGTTTTCTGTGGTTTATTTATGGAAAGTCTTTACACACATACACACACCTCAGCTCCACCCTGTGTATTTTCCCTGTATCAATATTTCCTCAGTCACTCACTCACTTCTCATGTCCTCCTCCTTTAAGACCGAACGCGTCCAGATCTGCTGTCCGAGGACCTCCAACGACGTTATGTTCAGGAGGTTCAGAGCCTGCAGGCTGCCGAAGTGGCCAAGCAGCTGGAAGACTTCAGGTGAGAATTTCTCACTCTGAACACTACACAGCCAGTCTAGCATAGTCCTGTATTATACCACAAATATTTCATTTGTACATTCTCAAAATCTGTCGCAGTTCATGATCACAACACTCTGCTTTAGGGTTAGTGGTTGACATGTGTTAAAGGACCTTATGCTATAGAGTGCTGTAGGGATGATGATGATGATGATATTTTGTGTAACAGCATGGAAGTTCGCATCACCCTGGTTCCCTTGACAGAAGGGGATTTTTCCATAGGCTTTTGCATTTTGCGGAAAATAAGCTCTGTGACAAACAATGGTTTATGGCACTTGCATGTTTTGTTCAGCAAGATAATCTTCATAAATCAACAACCACTTTTATGATTTTTGAAACCCAAATGGAATCACCAGAAGTAAAAAGCTATAAACACCACAGTCCCATGACTTCAACATCACCGCCACAGCTTCCAATTTGTAGTTTGATTTATAGCACTTTCTTCTTCTACAAAATCTATGTCAGTTAGAATAGTTTGCAAGTGTGAATGTTTCAAAATAATAAGGCTGTAAAGGTGGGCTAGTGAATAGATGAGTCTCTGTGATAGTGGTTAATATCTCAGACAGCCTCTGTAGTCTCATTTAGCCACTTGCTAGCAACCGCCTTTTTAAAGATGCATAAAAGCATTTAAAAAAATCACTAGTGAGGTATTTACTGACATGTTATTTTATAGAACAAAACATGAAAATGTATTGGCCTTAACCACAGTCCTTATTTCAGACATCTAACCAAAAACTCTTTCCAAAAAAAATGGATGAGGGACATGGAAGTGCAAAACTGCTCACTCAATTCTGGGTTTTAGGACTCACTACAACCCCAAATCACAAAAGTGAAGCGGTCCTAGATCGTCACTGATGCAACTTGCGTTTCAAAATGCGCCACACATTCTCTATTGGGAACAGGTCAGGACCTGCAGGCAGACCAGTCCAGCACTCGCACCCTTTTCTTCCACAGCCAGGCCTTGCTAATGTGCACACTATGAGGTTTTGCATTGTCTTATTGAACTATGCATGGGCATCCCTGGAAAAGATGTGGTCTTGAAGGCAGCATATGTTGCTCCAAAATCTCTGTATTGTTCAGCATTAATGGAGCCATCACAGAAGTGTAATTTACCTTTGCCAAGGGCACTGACACAAGCACAGTCCATGACAGACTCTGGCTTCTGGGCTTGTTGCTGGTAGCAGTGTGGATGGTCCTTTTTGTCTTTGGTCCAGAGTGCACAGTGTCAATTACTTCCAAAAACACCTGAAATACTGATTTGTCTGATGACAAACATTTCCACCGTGTGCTGGTCTATCCCAGATGCCTCCAAGCCCAGAGCACAGTGCAGTTTTAAGCAGCATTTATGGATGGAACTACGTACTGTAGTGCCTGACACAGGTATACCAAAGTAATCCTGAGCCCATGTAGTTATATGGCTTATAGAAGGATGACGATTCTCAATGCGGTGCCGTCTGAGGGATCAGAGACCACGGTCATCCAGTTTAGGCTTGTCCCCTTTATAAACTGAAATCCTTCCAGATTCCTGGAATCTTTTAATCATGTTCTGCACCGTAGAGGGTGACGTATCCAAATCCCTTCCTAGATTTCTTTGAGGAACATTGTTTTTAAACATTTCAATCATTTTCCCACACATATGTTGGTAACCTTGTGATCCTGGACCCATCTGTGATCCTAAAGGGCCTTTCCTGGATGCCACCTTTCTACCAAATCATGATGCAGTCACCTGTTGATGTCACCTGGTTCAAATCAAATCATCATTTCATAGTTTTACCTCATTAATGGCTCTGAAAGTTCAAAGTGTTTATTTTGTCATATGCAGACATCCCAACTATTTTTGGAATGTGTTCCAGGCATCAGAATTGAAATGAGTGTTTATTTTGAACCAAGAATAAAATTGATGAGGTATCTCATCAAATAATGTGCTGCTGTAATGTTTTCAATGTAATACAGGACACAGATGATTTACACTATCACTATTTTCAGTTTTAATATTTATTTTATATACCGTCCCAACTTTTTCTGATTTAGGGCTGTACTACTGTACTCTACTCACTTTGTAAAATATAATCTGCTGAATACACTGTATGTAAGCTACTCAAAATATAGTTCTTTCCTGTGAGTGAGTCGGGGGTTTCATACAGGTTCAGTCAAATCAGTCAACCAACCAGCAAATAAACTCATTTAGCTCTGTGAAGTTCGTGGTAAGGTGTCAGAATCCCATTGATTTGTTTTTAATTGTGGTTTGCAGGCTATCAGAATACTGATCACTAACATTTAGCAAATCAACTTCATCAGTTTTTAGATTCTTGTCTATGTGAAAATGAAATTGCAGAGACTAAACTTGCTTTAGACGAGGTGTTTGTCCCATAGGAAGCTACTTTTCAATAATTATATTTGACACACAGTCATTTCGATGTTTGCTTATCTTAATTATGTGTTAAAAGTTTGCAAGTTGATCCAGACAACCTATCACATCTGTTAGAATCAAATCACCCTAACTGTATGCTAAGCTGCTGTCAGCGAGTATTGCTCAAGACTTCCCCTGGCATCTTCACTTTAAATTTGCATTTCTTTCTTGGAAGGCTTTTATTTTAAAATGCACTAGTGCAATAGCACAAACACAAGAAATCTCTTTCTCACTTTCTGGTTCAGTAGAATTTTGTCATTTTAATGCTGATACTCTGATTTGTTTTTTAACCTGAACAAGAGAACTTATAGATTTGCTGCCTTTCATTTACATGAACAGAGAAATGATCTGATCTGACATCTGTTAGAAAGAAGTACATTCATGTGCAATATTTTCCAAGAAGCAAACATAAGACACAATCAATTGTGGACATCACAAAGAGGTTAATTGAAAATGTTTCTATATAGCTACCACTTTTGAAGGAAGAACTGAGCATTATCAAATAGCTGTATCTTAGACATGGTAATGCTTTGAGCACCTCTCTTCACAGTACATTCTGTGTTTGCTCACTGAATTCTGGAAAGATCCATCAATATGCGGCATCAGTCCTCTGCTTTCAGTGTTATGTTTGACACATGTGCCAAACTCCTGCCCCCTTCTGATTTGTCTTACACAGGCAGAAGAGGATGATGGGTATGACGCCCAATGAGGCCGAGCTGATTGATGTGGAGAACCACTATCCCACAGATCGTGTCCCATTGGAGATGAAGGAGAAGTCTGTGGCTGAGAACCTGCTGGACAAGATGTCTGAGACACAGTGAGGCGTTCTCTCTGCTGCTTACAGCACTATTAGGAAGAGTTTTTATAGATAGTGGCTGTGTTATTGATGCTTTGCTCATAACAGTGTAGCAAAGTCCAAGGAGTTAACATTTAAGATTCACTGTTTAGTATCCAGCTGTAATGACAAAGCAGCCTCACTTAGCTACCTATTTGATTTGTGCCTCAAACTGGCTTCTAGCTATGACCAAGACTTATCTGGCTACCACAGTATTTGGAGTAATTTGTCATGTGTAACAGACAGAAAATGATGACTGATGACTGCTGTTACAGACATGATTGATAAAGTTGCAATAATCAAAGCTTTACATAAATATACAGGATCCAGGCGGCTCCCCTTTTTTGACCAAAAGGTTCCAGGAACCAGAACTTAAGATAAACCTTTATTAGTCCCATGATGGGGAAATTCACACCGTTAGAGCAGCCAAGGGATAGAAACAGGCAAGCAATGTTAAAAATCAAGAAGTAACAGGCAAGGTATTATCAATATAAATATATTCAATTATAGCTATAATAAAGTACAAAGGAGGACACATTGCACACTTGACAACAGAAGTCCTTTTTGCACATTTCTGCTTGTTTCCACTGCATCTGAGAAACTGTGACAATCAGGCAAACTAAACAGAACAATGCTGTTGTCATAATGATATTGTTTAAAGAAAGGACAGTCCCCACTGTCTAATTAGTAACTGGATAGTGGGGAAAATACTTGGGTCTTCTCTCTGTTACCTGCTGCTCTGTGTTTTAAGCTGAGAAAATGACCAGTCTTTCAAAACAAGTTGGCACTTTACTTAAACAAAGCTCTGTAGAAGGTAGTCAACATCAGCGGTGCACATAACCAATCTAATACAGAGCAGGAGATGGAGGAAATCAAGCTCACTGGACCAGAGAGGTTGGAGATGGAAAAGCTGATTTGAAGAGAACACAATAGAGCAAGAAGGAAATGAAGAAGCACAGAGGAAAAGATGGAGTCAGCAGTGCCACGCTGGCAGAAGGCTTACCCCTGGCATTTTGCCAGCTGGGGGGAGGGGGAGGGCGGCAGCTTGTATAGGTTACACAGTGGAAAACAGATGGAGGAGAGAAAGGGCCAGAGGGTTATCGAAGCTGGCTAGTTCCTGCCCTGGACACGGTTAAAGAAAGAAAGCGAGAAATCCAGGGAAGGTTCATCTATCCTTGACCCTGTGGCCAACTGCAATGTATTATCCTTTACAAGAAGCAAGCCAGACAGAGGGGGAGAGGAGGCCGGGGAGAGGGCAGAAGACTGTCTAACTTCATCTAGTCACAAAAGAGGAATAAAAGTGAACAACAGAAACAGATGGAACAGTGCACAAGCAGCCCCGCCCTGTGGAGATAACCGCGCTCACAGTGAAGAAGGCACAAAAAAGCTTGCATATCAGTCTCTATCAGAGACCCTGTAATTCAGCTTTTGACTCACTCAGTTACTATCACACAGTTGGATCTCTATCCCCACTGCACAAATGAATCATTCAGCCCAACTCCATTCATTCCCCCCGACAATCATCTCTCTGTTCCCTCACGTTGACGTTCTCCCACACTTTTGCACCCAGTCACCCCCTTCATCCCCTTCCGGACTCGACCACAACAAAGTGACCTCGCCCCGTCTCTCCTTATTGGTCCCTTGTTGATGAGAACGAAGTGACAGCACCATTTGATTGGATTATGTAGGGGAGCGCTTTTTTTATGTTGATAGTAAAACAGTCTTGCCTGCATGTTGCATCAGACAAAAACATGGTTAAATAGACATTTCCGCTGTGCTGGAGCATTTCTGACTTTGATCCCCTTTGCAGGCAGCTTGCTGGAAAGACAAAACAAAGTTGTAGTGATTTACTTTTGACAGTCTGGAGACAATAGTTTGAGTTATTTGCAAGTCTTCAAGAGTGCAGTTTTAAGTCATTACATCAAGTAGAGGTGCAGTTTTTGATGCATCTCTCACTTTTTTGATTTTTTTTTTTGCTCCTTTTTTTTTCATTCTTTTTCTTTTGCAAATTTTAGAATATGTTCAATAGCTTCTGTGCTGAACACAATAACATTACAGTCAGCTTTGAGTTGGATCAGGAGAAGCTCAGGCAGTTCAGATTTCACCGACCCAAAACACAGTTAGTAATCAGTCGAGCAAGGGAAAGAAAAAATGCTACTTAAAAGAAAGAGGTGAGTTGATGCTGCAAGATGAGTAACCCGGCTTTTTTCTATCTGCAGATGTAACATCACTGACAATTGTCTGTTTTCTTTCAGACCCACAATCGTCTCAGACGAGGAAAAATGGTGAGTAAAGTTTTTTTTTGTACTTTATTGATATGTTTTCTTTTTTGAAGGAGCATTTGTGTGCTTTGATCTCTGGATGCTTTTTCTGTGCCTGGGTGTGGTCAACATTCCAGAGTTTTGCATACTGACTTAAATGCACCAAATATTCATCAACATTTCTTTGACTTGAGTTGCTCTTGAGACAATGTTCTAATACTGTCTGTATGATTTTTGTCAAAAATTGTACTGTACGCTGTAACAGTATCTTATACAGTGACTGAGATGCATTCTTAAATTTTTCTTTAATAATTTGTTGCACATAAACTATTAAACCCTGCCATACATGCCTCAGGTTTTTGTGCCTTGCTCCCAAGAGTTATGGCCCTCTATGATTCGTGGTCATTCTGTTGAATCGTTGGTGTATTCAGATAATATTCTCTGTAAATCTGTGCAGTGACTGGTGGGGAGAGACACATGTGCTTTTGTTATGTGCACATCCCCAGAGGCTCCTCCCTTTGCCTATTTTTTTTATTTCTACTCGACTCCTCCTCTGTCTTTTCTTATGTTTTCTTATGTCATTCTTTACAACTCCTCCTCCTCCCTTCTGGGACACTTTCAGGTCTCCATCTCCCTCTTCCCCTGCCTGCATCCTTCTTGTCATCCATTTTTTTGTGTGTCTCAGCATTAGCATCGAAGTCACCAGAGACTGCAAACACAACTTTAACATTCTGGTACTTTATTGCAGCCTTTAATATGAAACATGATGAGCACAAATGCATTTATAAGAGAAGACTGATTTTGTTCCAGGAATTTAAAATGTAATTTATTTATTAAAAACTGTAAAACAGAGCAATGACAAATAAATATTAACAAAAAACAGTGTTAGCTATTAACACTTTTTTTTTACTCGTCTTTTAGCCAATCCATCTTCACAGCTGTGGTCTTCTACATGAAGCACCTTGGGGTTAAAACCAGGGCAGCTGACAGTAAGAAGTCCAGAGGAGGCTTCTTCAGGAGACAGCTTGTAAAGGTAAACAATCCTTATTCTGTTAGCGAAGCCATTAAACAGATCGCCGGTCAGTCTGGTGAAATGTACTGCACTGTCCTCACTAAACCTTTGCAGGGTAGCAGTTGTGTTATTGTTCATTTTCATTTCACCTTTTTGATTCCATACTTATGTTATCTTTGCAGAATAAGAAGGATGAATCCACAAAGCCCAAGCCCAGAGGGGTGTTTCCTGGTATGCCTAGCTGGATTGCAGGCAACAGTATGTATTTGATTTTGTTCCTCATCACAAATGAGCCCTATTACATTGGGGGTTTTGTATCTGTATTTCATTTCTGAATAATTTTTGAAAGTATTTACAATCGCTAAATTGACATGCACACTTTCAATTAATGATAATTATTATAGTGGCATTTACAGTAACTAAATGTTATACATCTTGATGTCCATAAATGGTCTGGATATGAGAATATGTGTCCTACCCTTTTTTCCTGTTACAGCTGAGGTCAAACCTAAAATGGAGAGTGAAGGTACTAGCTGGCCTGAGTTCCACCCCATTTTTATCTGTAGAATGGTCACCTCCCTACTAATCAACTCATAAGCATGTTTGCATGTCCCAGATCGAACTGGGAGAGACTGTGGGTGGGCATTGTTCAGTTAATTCTGTGTTACAGGGTGGTTGTTTGAGGAATTAGTTGTACTGTGTAGTTTGTATTCACAAGAAATCTTCATATAATGCACACTTACTTCCTCTGCAGGGTTGTGAATGCTCTTATGTTACAAACTAACCCTTTAATTTACCACAGATGCCTTGATTGCTCATACTCATCCTGTCTGTCTGTCTCAACAAGTTTGTCTTTTTGTTTTGATGGTTGAAGTCCTTTAGTGTTGTCTTTGCATCTGAGTTGTCAACAGTTCAGCTTTGTTAAACTTGTTGTACTCTTCTCACTTGTCAGCGGAAAAGGACAAAGTGAATCCAGAGCGTAAGGGTCCCCCTCCCGGCAGAAGCTCTGTCATTGAACCTTCAGCCCCTTCTCTCCCTAGCAGGAGGGAAGGGACGACCAGGAGGGATGGCCCTCCCTCCCTGCCTGGGCTAGAGATCACTGATGGCTCAGGCAACAACATAAATGCCATCAACATCCCTGAGTCTTCACACAGTGATGGTAAGATTGACTAGACTGTGTTATATGATGTATGCTTTCTTATCTAAAAGCAATCAATACGTTACAAATTGTAAACTTACTGGATAGGTCTTTCAGCAGAAATTTGCAATACATAACCCCTCATTTGTTCCCTTGCCTCCTTTTCTAATATTCTAGGCCCCTTAAGCAGTCGCTTAGAGCCTCCAGTCCTGTCAGAAGGGGGTGATGTCTCCCCTGTCGGGCTGGGAGGTGGGCTGACCATTGGGGAGCCCATCTTGCCCAGTGACATTTCCACAGAGGACAATGTGGAGAAAGACAGGTGAGGAGGATGCAGATGGTAACAAAGAAAGTAGCATCTAGGGAGTGAGATTACTCAGTGAGAGTCTAGGCAATTACAGGATTAGAAATTGTAATGAGGTTATAAGTAGATTATATGGGAGGTGTAAAGACAGCAGATCCAACAACCAGGGGAGCAGGGGGAAGCGAAACATGTCTTGCACGCTCATGCTGAGGGAGTGTGGTAAAGCTCCCCCAGCAGTCTGTCCCTGCTGTGTGCTAGCTTCTGTCATGTTGCCCGTTGTTCGCTAGCTAACCGAGTCTGCAGTTTTGAAGGACCCTCACCAGGTGAACCCGGACATGGTTTTCCCTACCAGGCCTTTGCCTTCCCTCCTCCCCATGCCCTCTCTCTTTTTTTCTTGTTCACACTAACATGTGTGCTCTCTTTCTAATATGATACTGTCCCATTGGTGTTCTTTTGTGTGTGTCTTGCTCTGCAGCTCCTAAAATTTACTACAGAGTTCATTGCCACTTTTGTTGGAAATTGTTTGTTGTTTTTTTTTTTCCAATTCAGGTACATGTTGACAGTACACTGGTGATTTCTTCTGGCACAGACATTTGTAATTCTTAAGGTTATATGGCACTGATGTCCGTTTTCTACCCAGCAAATAGGTTTGGCGTTTAGGTCAGATATTTTAGCCAACATATAGAAATGATAATATTTTGTATGAAATTTGTCCAGAGCTTTTGAAAAAAAGTGGTTTAATAAATTTGCCTTGTTGCTAATCTTTAGTGCTTTTAAATCTTAAACATTACTGTGCTGTTATTTAGTTAATAGTCAGAAGTGGAAAATGAAATTTAATTTGTATACATTTTTATTTATAGTTTATATTTGCTGCTCGGCCCGTGTGCTTTTCAAGGTGTCTGCATCTGTTGTGGCCGGGTCCATCTTTTGTCCTGCTTGTCTCCATGCACACTGTGTGTGTAGTTACATGTTGTTCCAGGGGCTTTGGCATAGTATTTGGCATGCTACTCTGACAGTGGTGTAAACATTTGTTTAGAATAATATGCTGAGGTGTGCATTTGCATGTTATGGTTGCTACTGTGGCAGCTATGTAAAGGCGGGTGTGTAACGCTGTGGTGTCCCGTGTTTTTGCAGACGGAAGACAAGGTGGGTGTCAGCGCCTTGACAGAGTCATGGACATGCTTCAGGCCTTATAATGATCATATGTCACACATATACAAACTCAACAAACATCACTCACATACATACACACACTTCACATTAAGCCCTGTACTCCTATGCTGATCCATAACACATGGCTAAGTATTTCAACTTGCTTGTGATGTAATTGGAATGACCTTGATTGCTGAGATCACTTGGATTATTTTTAGCTGTGGGAAGTTGGAGAACTGTTGAGATAAATGGTTATTATTAGAGTTGCTGATTTGAAAACGTTTGGTACATGGAGTAGGCTACGTAGAGCCAATGCATTGCTACTTAACATTGTGTTGTAAACTGGTTGCCAGTAGCTCATAAGGACATTTAAATGTTAAGTGCATTTAAGTGCCACCATGTCTACAGTATATGAAGCATACTCTATCTGTTTCATTGTCTAATCAATATATGCATGTCAGATGTCATGTCACTCATTTTCTCTCTTTCTCCATCTTTTGATTTTTTTTTTTCCTGTTTTCTTCTTGAACATCTATTTTTGTGTAAATCCTGTACTAATGTACCTTGACTCCATTATCCTTGTCTTCATAATTAACACAAATGTCTGTCCTTACTGGTTATATATAACTCTCTTCTACTATCCAATGGTTTTTGGCATTTCCTCTCTCTATTCTGTTGCATCTGTGTGTTTCCTCCTTCCACACTTTGGTTCTCGTTTTCTCTTTGCCCTCTCTTCGGCCTCTTTTGTCCTTTCTTGCATTTGCTTCCTGTTCCTTTTTCTATCCATATTTCTCCTTCCCCCCTCTTTTGTCCCTGTCTTTCCTCATCCCTCCCCATCCTCCATCTTCTCCCACCTTCCCTCCCTACAGTAGGAAAGTGGGACGTAGCGAGAGTGCTCGGATGGACCGACACCCCTCTCGCCGCCGCGGCTCTTCCCGGGCCAAACAGTCCCGCTCCCGTAGTGATGTGGACCTCCAACCACCTTCCACCCCGACTACACTTGCCCCGCTCACCCCCCAGCACTCCCATTTGTAAGATGGACAAAGCCTCTCTGGTTGAGAGGTGCACAGCAGGGACAGACAGGGCCATTACAGACCCAGCAGCAGCAGTAGTCCTCAAATAGTCAGGAAGCAGTTCAGCAAAATAAACAGTAACAATAAAAATACTGGTGGATCACAAGCAAGTGGCTCATTCAGAACTAATGGGTAGATCACTTTGGAGCTATATTTAAATTGATTTTTGTCTAAGTGCCAGTTAATGTGGGTAAGTGACTTTGACAAGGTGCATATCTGTTGTCTCCTGTAAAATGTATCAGCCTGGCTGACTGACTCACTACTGACTGTCAGTGAGACCTGTCTCTAATAGTTGACCTGCACTGTGACTGACAGGAAGTGAGGTAACAGTTAAACTGCACTCTCATTTTCAGCCAGAGGTCAGGGACTTAGCTCTTTAGAGAGATGATTACTGAGTTAGTGTCAGCCCATTATTAAGAGTTCACTTGCTGTCAGGCAACTGTAAATGCCAGCAATGACTTGAAACAATAAAACACCCAGACTAAGCCAACAGAGGTCAGGTTCATTAAAGTTTTCAATGCATTTCTTTATTTGATTTTTGTCTTGGGTGCAGCAAGGTTTTGTTTTATTGTATGGTTTTAGAGGCTGTGAAGTTGCTTTTTAAACCTCTCTACAGTCACAACTACTGTCATCATGGGTGTCTAGTGGAGAGCGCTTGTATTCAGATCAAGACCTGCATTGCTATAAACAAAATTCAGCTGGCTGATTTTGTAAACCAATAATGATCTTAACATACAGCTAGCAGCAGCTATTAATGTGAGGTTAAATTTGATATAGTAGCTCATCCAGCGGATACTCTAAATGATTCTAGAATGTTAAAGAGCTAGCCAGTGTACAGACATTCTTGGTGTAGATTTAGAAAAACAACTAGCTCTTCACAGCTGCTGTTCAACATTTTCCACTTTTGTTGCTAGTGTGTTTGTCACATTACATGATAGTCATCGTGCTTGATTTAAGCTGTAGTAGCCAATCTAAACTAAAACTTCCCCTGCTTCCTTTGTTCCTCAGTGCCGAGGGACCAGTATTGGATTCAGAAGGGCATGGCCACTCTCCAACCAGCCCCTCCCCACAGGTGGAGGAGATGGAGCCGCGCCTTCTGGAGTTTGAGCAGGACCCACCCAACTGGAGGGAGCTGGCCTCCCCTGAAGCTCTGTCCAGTCTCAGCAAGAAGGAGACCAAGAGGCAGGAGGTCATCAATGGTGAGGCGAAGACAGCTGAAGCAACACATGATGACACCAAAACAGATGTGCTGAAAAATTTGATTTTAACATCACTTGTACTGTTCCTGCTCCCTCCCCTTTCAGAGTTGTTTGCAACAGAGCATGCCCATGTGCGAATGCTAAGTGTCCTTCAGGCGGTTTTCTCAAGGCCTCTAGAGAGGGAGGAACTACTGTCCGCCACTGAGCTTTCCGCCATCTTCCCAAACCTGGACGAGATTATTGAAATGCATTGTAAGTGCTGCTGCAAATACAGTGGCAAGAAAAAGTATGTGAACCTTTTGGAATTTCAAGGTTTTCTGCATTAATTTGTCATAAAAAGTGATATGATTTTCATCTGAGTCAAGAGTACTGATGAATATAATGTGCCTACAAAAACAACACAAAAAAATTCTGATCTTTCATGTCTTTATTGAAGACACTCATTCAACATTCAAAATGGTAGTGGAAAAAGTAAGTGAACCCCTGGAATTAATAACTGGTTGACTAACTGTAGACTGG